AAAATAGGCCTTATTCATTGGAGTGTAATTCGAAGTGTTCCTTTCCATATTCTTATCATCCATCTCTTCTTGTATTTGTTTGGCTCGTTCTTCATGTCTACACTTCCTTTCTTCCGCCTCAAGGGCATTTTGCTCCGCCAGTAATCGAAATGAGGCCGCCACTTCATGTTGAGCGGCGTAATCAGCATTTGCCTTGCCCTTTTCCCTCAACCTTCGGGCCTTGTTTCGTCCCATAGCCCTAGGTAAAGAACTTTCGGACGAAGTCGGATTTTCTACCCTTATTTGTTGAATGGTTGGAGATCCATCTTCATTCATATCTACAGATGGAGATGCAGCTTCCAAAGGATCCACTCTATGTTAAGGTGGATCTTCAAATAACACCCACCCTTTACAAATTTCCCAACAACCGTGAAACTGAAAGGGTTTTAAGCTGCCCTCCATATACAATTCCTCCGTTTGGCGTACCTAGAAAATATAAATTAAAAAAAATTAGGAAATTAATTCACGAAATTAAATGTAATATAATTAAACATTTAAAATAAACTGTAAAAACACTAACTTCGTCATAGTAATTGGCGCCGCTTTCATGTCTACTTGCTGCTGCTAATAGTGCTTGATGCCATTTATTCAAACTTGGATGAAGATGTTTCTTCCATCTTGAAGAACAACTTTCGTGGTTTCGGGTATTTGGTGGAATGGTGCATTCGTAGAACTCTAAGTATTTTTTGGACACACGAGTCCAAACACCTTCACTTGTTTGAGAAATCCCCCTCACACTATCTTCTGAGATTCATCTATAAGCCTTACAAAGAGCTTCATCTTCTTTTCGGGTCCAAGCCCTACCTTTCATTGCATATGAGGCCATTTTTTTGAAAAAAAATGAAGGAAATATTGAAGGAAATATTGCAAATGAAGTGAAGAAATATTATAGATGAAGGAAATGTTGAAAAATTGAAACAAATATTATAGATGAAGGAAATATTGGAAAATATATTGAAGGAAATATTGAAAAATTGAAACAAATATTATAGATGAAGAAAATATTGGAAAATATATTGAAGGAAATATTGAAGGAAATATTGAGAAATATATTGAAGGAAATATTGAAAAATATTGAAGAAGGAAATATTGCAAATGAAGTGAAGAATTGAAAGAACTTCACCATATTTATAGAAGAAAAGAAATGTTTAAAATTAAAAAAAATAAAATCCCCCAACGGCTAGCTGACTCAGCTAGCCGTTATATTCAAAAAAATTTCAAACTATTAGTGTCGGTTATAACCGACAATAATAGTAAAACTATTAAAAAAGAATCTCTTTAATGATGTCGGTTATACCGACAGCAATAGGAAAACATTAAAAAAAAATAGCCAGCCCTCCAGCCCTCTCCGATCCCGTGGGGCCTTCCCAGATTCCAGAGCCCTCTAGCCTAGCCCTCGGTTGGAGACGGTTTTAGGGCTATTTTCGGCCCTCTGGCCCTCTGGACCCTTCGGTTAGAGATGGCCTAATATCCCAAAATGAATAATAGAAACATCTTGAAATTCATACGGGCGTAGAGCTTTCAAAAACCAAAAAAAAAGCCCTGCTTGTTTTTCAAAACCGAGGTCATTCACCATAAAAAAACGAAAGCAGCACCATCTCCAAAGAAGATGTCAAATTATAAGAGTCAAATTACAATTGATGGCTGATATGACAATCTAAAGCCTTATGTCAAATTTTATACTTCTCTAACCAAATTGTTAAATGTTATTTTATTATTTAAATAGAGTTTTAAATAGTTGTAATTATTAAAAAATGTCGAAACAAATTTTTTATTTGTTGAAATGTTACTGGAATAAGGGATCCACCATTAAAATGAATTAAAAATAAATTTGACATTGATGTCAAATTTGACTTCAAATCACAAATCCTTCAAATTCATTCAGCAAATAACACTTCGATTAGAGAGACTTTTGATGCCAAATATGCACAGTGGCATTCCATCTAGAATTTTGACATCTTCTTTGAAGATGCTCTAAAAACTACTTTCGAAAACTGGATATTTATTTTTTAGGGCAAAGTACAAAAAACTACCTCAACTATTGGTGTCACGACACTTTCATACCTCATCTTTTAAAATTGACAATGGCATACCTCGTCTTTAGAATTTGGTCCAATGTTATACCTTCCGTTAGCCTGGCCGTTAATTTGTCAGTTAAATGCTGACGTGTCTTGATCCAGACCCCACTTTCTATTAAAAAATTAAAAAAATATTAAAAAAACTTTTAAAAAAAATTAAAATATTAAAATAATAAATAAAAGTAAAAAAACAAAACAAACAAAACAAAACCTGTTCATCCTTTCCACCCCTCCCCCTTCTCTCTCTCCATATCTTCATCTTCAACCGAAAAAAAAAAATTGAAAACCCATCAACCCCCAACTCCCCCCCCCCCCGGCGAAGGAGGAAACCCATCAACCCCCAACACCCCCCGCCCCCAGTGGAGAAGAAGAAGAAGAAGAAGAAGAAGAAGAAAAAGGAGGAAGGAGGAGGAGAAGAAGAAAAGAAAAAAAAAACCCAACCCAACCCAGTTCGTCCCCCCCCCCCCAAAACAAACCCAACTCCCTGCAACCCATAAAGAAAAAGAAGGAAGAGGAGAAGAAGAAAAAAAAAAACCCAGCCCAACCCAGTTCGTCCCCCCCCCCAAAACAAACCCAACTCGCTGCAACCCATAAAGAAGAAGAAGGATGAGGAAGAAGAAGAAGAAAAATAAAAAATAAAAAACCCAAACCAAACCCAACCACCTGCAACCCAGAAAGAAGGAGGAGGAAGAAGAAGAAAAAGAAAAAGAAAAAACCAAGATCCCATTCGCTAGGCCGATTCCACGGGATATGGGTGCGGGGGTGGATGCGAGGGGAAGACGAACTGAGATTTTTTTTTTTTTTTTTTTTTTTTTTTTTTTTTTTTTCGAGGTTGCAAGTAGGGGCTCGGGTGGGGGAGAAGAGGGGATGGGGAGAAAAGAGAAAGACGCCCGGGGGGGGAGGGGGGAGGGAGGGGGAAGGGACGAATTATTATTATTATTTTTCTTCTGTTTTCTGGGTTGCAGGCTTGCAGCAGGTAGATGAGGGGGTGGTGGGATGGGGGAGAAGAGAGAAGGATAGGGGGTTGCTTTGTTGTTGTTGTTGTTTTTTTTTTAACTTTTCTTTATTATTTTAATATTTTAAAAATATTAAAATATTTTTTTTAGTTTTTTTAATATTTTTTTAATTTTATAATAGAAAGTGGGGTCTAGATCAAGCCACGTCAGCATTTAACTGACAAATTAACGGCCAAGCTAACAGAATGTATAACATTGGATTAAATTCTAAAGACGAGGTATGACATTGTCAATTTTAAAAGATGAGGTATGAAAGTGTCGTAACACCAATAGTTGAGGTAGTTTTTTGTACTTTACCTTATTTTTTATTTTTTGTGAAAATACGGGTGATCAAGTTACAATAGTGTTGAATGAATTTTTCAAAATGGCCATAATACCCTGGCCGTTTTAATAATATGACAGCCATTACCCTCGTTCCCCCTCTGTATCTTTCCCGTTCCCCTCTCTCCTTGTTGTCCTTCAACCTTCAATTACTTGGTAAATCATAAATCAACATATTTCACCAACCGTAATTCCTGGTGACTTTTATTTGAATTTTTGAGCTGACAGTTCCCACATAAGGGAAGAACAAGTAAAACCAACTCAAACTGTATGCCTTTATTTTATGGATCCTCGTTGTCGATGTCTTTTTTTTTTTTTTTCTCTTCTAACAACTACAAACATCATACAAAGAGATAGAGTGTTTGAGTGAATATTTAATGCTGGGCTTGGTGAGAATGAAGGCCTAAGAATACAAAAAGCAAAGGGACGATTGGGATTGTACAAGCCAATAGCCCAAGAAGAATTAAAATCATTTTTGCCAAGGAATAGGCAATAAGGCTATGTTAGAAGTGGTGGGCGACAAAGGGCAGCTCACCCTAGCAAAAAAATACTTTTCAAGGGTATGGATGGGTAAATAAGTGGTGACTCGCCACGTTTCGGAGGACATCACCAAAAGGCAAAGCTTGGATAGTCGGGCTAGAAGGTCTATAAAAGCAGCAAAGGACACCAGATACAATGACACTCAACCAATCAATCAAAAAACATCTCTTTGCTTGCAGACAAGCAAGAAGCCAGAAAGCTTTAGTTTGTCCAGACTTGGTTCTTTTAGTCATAGATTCACCATAGAAAGCTATCTTTTGTCAAGTTTTAGAAGCTCTGCTACTTTTCCCAGTATTGTAGCATCAAATCCCTTTAGTAAACCTACTTTATCTCTCATTCTCCAAATATTACAACCCCTGTAAAATACAAAGAGAAATGGCTGCAAGAGGATGAACCTTGCTCGACAAGGTTATAATCTTGCCTGAGTCTCTTTTGTTTGTGCTTATATAAAGTAGATATGTTGTTTAATGCATCTACCTTTGTGTTTTAAACCATTTTCAACTTACTTTCGCTCAAAATTATGATTAATTTGGCTAAGCTAATTAACCTTGCTTCTTTAGTGTTAACTGTAATCAATGAAATGGTTAGAAAGACCCTGAACTCCCTTTATCTCGACATATGTTATCATGAGTAAATGTTTACAAGGCAAGAAAAAGAACCTTATACAGACTTAATTCATCTGTAACAATCCAAGAAGATCAAGAAGTCTAAGTAACTTGTGACGCAAGTAATCAACCCAGTTCATAACTAAAAAAGAACAATATGTTATACAAAGATAACAGTAGCACGCTCAGATCCATGTTAGTTTTGATTGTGAGCCTCAAGGCCTAACAAATGCCCCACAAAGGCACCATTCAAACTAACAGCAAACTCATATTGCAGCACACCAAGCAGCAAACCTTTCAGGCAAAACCCCGAAGAACTGTGCGAGGGACAAATCTGGCCTGAACAGAGTCTAGAGAGAGAGAGTAGAAAACCTGTAACAGGTAAATTGAATTGTAGAAGCTGTAGCACAAATTCAAGCATTTGATAACGTATAAATACATTGGATTACAAAGAGTCCTACTGAGATACAAAGTATTACCATCTATATCTTACAGACAAGATGAAATATATAAATATGATTTGGTTTGTTTACAAAGGTGGCGGATTGGACTGGGACAAGGACTCTTGTTTAACAGAAAGAGACCCAACTTCAAAAGTGGTAAGAGAAGGATACCCATTTTAGATTCTATGCTACTTTTGGCTCTCTGCCGTCTGTAATGGAATTTGAGCTTTGTGTATCTGAGAGAAAAGGTGAGGGAGAGGCCGCATGCGACGAATCCGTCAAACTTCTGACTTTCAATAGCGTTGGTGAGGTCTGAGCTTTACAGATTGGACATTGACGAGAAAATGCGGTGTCCAGATTGCACCACCAACAGACACTCTTCTATACAATCTTTTGCTTGATTTCAGCTTTATAGCTTTTCAATTGCTGCTTCAAAAATCAAAATTTGAATTACAAAGAATCTTGATTACAAAGAGCGAAGAGAGAGTGAGGATGGGTATGGGAAGAGAAGATGGAGGAAATGGAGAGAGTTTGTAGAAAATAAGAAATATTAAAAATATGAATGAACAGTGTGTCCACAACAAGTTTAATTTACTAAACACCTAATTACTTTATTTAACAAATAATAGGGTTTTTTTTTTTTAAAATAACACAGCAATATCACCAAACGAGCCCTTAATCTTGAAAGAATAAAATTCAATTGCTCCTTTTCATTAAAAAAATAATAATTCTAATGGCTGTAGCTCGGTATTACGCACCTTTTTGTTTCTCGTAGTCCATGCAGCTGTTTATGAGGGCATCAATTTCTTGCATCTTTCAGCCCAGGGATAGACCTCAGTCTTTTACGAGATCGACTCTCCTCAGATGAAAGTCCAACCTGGTCTTGCATAAGATTGACATCCTTGTCATACTCACTTGAACGCCTGATAAAATTGGCTAATTCATTGACTAGTTTTTCCTGCTCCAGGTAAACACCTATTTTCTGCACCCTCAGATGAATATCGTCAGTACTCCCGTGTTCTAAAAAGTGTGCACCAACATTTATCTTGTCCCCACCGTTCACCTTGAGCTCATTGTTTGATAAATGTCCCAGCCAAATATAACTTTCATGGCGATTTGTTACGGTGGCATACATTGGAGAGATGAAAAACTCAGTGTGCTTGGTACGATTTGCAACACGGATGCAAAGAGAATCACCAGATTGGGAGTCGTCTGAAGAATACACAATGCACAGAGTCAATGCTTTTGCATCATAGCCAAAACATTGCGGCACAACTATTTCACCCTTAGGGTCAGCGGATGTAAACCCTGATGGAAAATCATTTCCGGGGAGAAAAAGATCACCATTTCTGCTCGCGCTCCATTCCTATACCATGAAGTAATTAAGATTTGTACAAAAAGTTAATACATGCATGTATGTATAAGCTGTATACGGATGAGTGCAGAGAGAGAGAGATGACCTGTAGGATTGTTTTTTTAAAAGCAGCAGTGAGATTGGTGCACCCTTCCATACGAATCCTTCTCATAGTGTTAAACGACTTATGCAAGCCTAGAATCTCAGTGAGTTTGGGGGAGTGATTCAGATGCAGTTCTACCATACTTGACATTTCTGAAAAATTTGGCATCTTTTCCAATGCAATGCACTCATCCGCTTTCAGGATTTCCAAATTTGTTGGTAAATCTGGGATTTCCTGAAGGTTTTCGCAATTCGCAACAGATAAATACTTAAGGTTCTTCAATTGTACTACGGAGTGGTGAATCTTGGACAAACTCTTACAGGCTTCGAGTATCAATCTCTCAATATTTGGGATTCTTGTAAAGTCTGGTGATTCTTTCAGGTGATCACTATAACCAAGATTGAGAAACATCAACTTTTCAAGTGACTGAGACAAAAGGGAACAAATATCAAAATTCAAATAGAAGGAGAAAGCATGATGTTGGTATTTAAACAACCTGGTGGAAAGAATTGATAGTTTGGTTGGGTTTGTATTGTACCACGTTCGAGTTCTTCCAGACTTGTATATTGCTACAACTCAGGTCAATGTCAACTGCGTTTGGTTGATTAAAATCTTCTGGTATGGCCTGCAGAGAAAACTCAGACAAACTTAACCATCTTAACTCTTCGGAAAGATGTTTACAGTGTCCAGTGAAATTTACGCCTTTTATTTTGAGTAATCTCAGGTTCCGCATATTTCTGAATGCTTCTGTACTGAAGCTAAGCTTGTCAGCTTCTGGAAAATCTAAAGCAATTCCTTCATTTTCTTCCGTTCCCTGTTTGAAAGGAAAAGAAACTAAAGTAAGACAAGGAAAATTTGCTTAGACTTTAACCAGTGCAAAGCACCAGTACTGGATCAATGCCATAGAGTTTGCTTAGACATCAGTTCTGTTTTAACAATCTAAATTAGTCACCTGTGTTACAGGGATAATTTTCAAATAATTCAGTAAACAAAATCAGTATAACTTTTTCTCCTTTATTACGCACATGTATTAAATGAAATTTGATTGAGGGATGTACTTACACATTGCTTCCTCAATACATGTTTTACATCTTCATGATCCCACAATCTACAACGACTTCCAAGCTTCTTAGGGGATTTTGCACGTACAATTTCTCTGCCCGTGTCTCGAATCAAATGATGCATCATCAGATTGCCTTCTAGATCAACAGTTACAAGGCATCGATCATGGAGTTCTCTAATGCCTATTGCTGGATTACAGTCACACCCATCCATTATTGCCATGACACGGTCCTTGTTCATTCCAATAAAGAAACATGATATATCAAGGAATATATCCTTCACCTGGCCATCAGTAAGCCCGTCATAACTTACCTTAAGAATTTTGGGAATTTCCTGACAAGGTTGTGATCTTTTCCACTTGTTCAATGCACTTGTCCATTCTCTTGTGGTTTTTGTACGTAGGTAAGAACCTACAGCTTCAAGTGCAAGTGGTAAACCCCCACAATAATCAACAGCTTCTCTTGAGACTCCGAGATATTCTTCATTAGGATAATTCTTTCTAAAGGCACACCGACTAAGGAGCTCAAGAGCTTCATCTTTATTCATTGCTGGCAGAGAACATATTTTATCCACTTCAAGTGTCTGTAGCAAATGTTCATCCCTTGTTGTTATAACAATTCTACTTCCTGGACCAAACGAGCCACGTTTTATAGCTAATGTATTTATGTGTGCCACACAGTCTATATCATCAATTATGACAAGAACCCTTATGTTTCCAAGTCTTGTTTTTATCTCCTCGGTCCCTTCATCAACCGTACTCACCTTTATGTTTCCCGATCTCAAGATATTAGACAGAAGTATGTTTTGCGAATCAACCAGTTTCTTATCTTCTCTCACATTTCGAAGAAAACATGTACCATCAAACATGTGCTGGTATTGGTTGAAAATAGCTTTTGCAATCGTTGTCTTACTAGTCCGCCCATCCCCCAAATTCCAATTATGCGAACATCATTGGATCCTCCAACATCTAAATAATTACTGATTTCTTGCACACGAGAATCTATTCCAACTGGATTTCTGGCTACATTTAAGCATGCTTTCTTCAGTTTTCTAGCGATCTGGCCAACAACTTTCCTGATAAACGTTCCTTCATGCCTGGAATTAAAATTCATAATTAAGGAAAAGTAAGATTTACTATGAGACTGAAGGATTAAAATGTACCAATATATACCGTAATCCTTATGAGTGCAGAATTTAATTAGGAGTGTATAAGATTCGAACATACTAAGTTAAACTTCTACAAACAGTCATCACCGAACACTCTGATATCTAGTAAGATAGTATATTAATCCTCAAATTAAAGGAAATGAGCAGGTTATTACCCGTCAGTCACTCGAAAATCCTCGCCGCTCAACCCTGCAGCTGTATTAAGAGCATTTCTCCACGATCGGACCACTCCTTCGTTGAACTTTTGTTTATGATTCTTAAACGCCGTTGCAAAGCTACCAGTCTGATGCCTGACATCTGAAGGATCAACATCGTAGAAAATCGGAAAAACAAGTTGACCCAGTGTTCTTCTGCACTCCATGATCTCCACCAGCTCCTCAAGACACCATCTGGATTCCGCATACCCCTTTGAGAACATGATGGCAGCAAGTCTGGACCCTTCGATTGCTTGCTTCAGTTTTTCTGTTATAGCATCCCCTCTAGTTAATTCGTCCTCGTCCAGAAAGACATTGAACTTGTTGTCTTTCAATGTACAGTAGAGGTGGTCCGTGATGCCCTTGCGTGTTTCGCCCCTAAAGCTCAAGAACACGTCGTACTTGCTGCACGGGGTATACATCGTGCTGTTGGCAACTCGGCGATTCTCTGACGTCTGATCGGAACTGCAAATTGGCACCAGGGGGCAGACGGTTTTTTAATCGAACTAGCAAAGTCAAGTCAACTACACCTCGTTCAAGTCCTCAAAAATTAATTGGCCAAAAAGAAATTCGACCAAAAAAAAATTGGCCAAAAAGAAAAAGTTACTTGTTAAGAAAACGCGGGTATATTTAACAACACGTCGAAAGTGTTAATAAAACAAGGCACATGAAAATTATAAAAATAATAGAAGTGGATGTAAAAGAAAGTTGAAAACCCAACCATATCAAGCCACCCCCGGCGCTCCCCATACCAGCCGCCAGCATCCCCCGGCCTTCTCCATACCAGGCTCCATCACCACCTATCCATCTCTTTCTCTCTCTCTCTCTTCTCTCCGGGAAGTAGAACGAGCAAAAGCAGCAGAGGAACGAACCACCGAGACCAATCGCTTGATGACCATGTCCATGGAAGTCCCGGATAGAGACCACAGAGTAATGACATATGTTGTGGGGATGAAAGTAACATTAGGAGTTATGCCAGAGGAAAACAATAACCAGAAGAGTTGAGACGTGAGGGGTTTGGGTATCAAAAAAGAGGGGAAGTCGCTTAACGAGGAAGGTGGAGTAAATGGCAACTCCTAAGTGCTGCCGTCTCAACTCTAGTGTCACGGCTAATCAAGCCTAAGTGATACCGTTTCTTTTTATGAACCACATATAACCGTTTATTACAAGAGAAATCTGAATGTCTTTGCATATTACATCCTCGTTAAATAGGTAAAACATCTTAGGATATACTTTATGGTACCACCACATCAAAACAATATCCCACTAGCTATAAGTATTGCAAGGGTTAATTTAAAATACGAATTAGGTATAGAACATGAAAAATATGTATGTATATTATTCCGCAATTCTTATATATTTTTAATACCTATTTATTTTTGTTTTTCAATAATTGTTAAGAATACGAATAGAATATGTGAATTTTATATGTATTATTAAAAAATGTTGCAAAATAAGGTGTATTAAGCGTGAAAATTTTAAATTTTAAAATACATGCAATTTAACAAATCAATAATAAGTGTATAAAAAACAGAGTATTTTTAAAATACGTATACATACATAATTATTAATACATATATTATACGCAAATTTACTGACCATATTAGATTTCCAAAGGCCAATTTTGTTGAGTGGGTATGCCATTTGTTGGCGGGACTCTCCTCCAAACGGCTACCAACAAAATGTTGTAGGAAATAGGAATAATAGCATACGTAGCATAAAAGGCTAAAAAGCACATGGACAAAGAGTGTACAGTTTGTAGTCCTCACAAACCCCCGATCATTTAACCGACTTTTTCACCACAAAAGTCATTTTTTACCTGGTACTTGGGCGGCTTTTTCTTCTGAGTCCGATTCCAAAAGCAGAGTTCATTTTCTGCACCTACAATTTTTCTGTGATTCTAATTATTGATTGACACGTATTTATAAATTTAACTTTTTTAAATTTATTATCTAAAATTTAATATGTATCAGTCAATGATTGAGACCATAGAGAGGCCACATTCCTTTTGGGTGTGCAAAAGATCCCCTCTTCATGGCATCCTCAACTCTTTTGAGGAAAATGTTTTTACCACATTTTTTTGTTATAATAAAAAAAAAACATCCTATTTGCTATTGATTTTCTTTTAATTTACTTAGTTGAAATATTGAAAATAAACATGCGTGTATAGAAAACGCTTTCCTTCTTTACTGTTGTGAAAAAAGTTATTCCAACAAAAAAAATTAATATTTGAGTTTTGTTTTAATACCTCTGATGCACATACTTTAATAATAAAACTAAAATTTAAGTTTTGAAACCAAGGTTTTCTCTCCAATGAACATTCTTGACTCTAAGTTTTGCCTCCTATACTACACATATCCAAATAATTTTTTGTTTTGTTTTTATAATGATATTCTACATTTTAGAGGAGAGGTATAATCTAAAACTCAATTAATAAATGACACACCCCGACCAAAAATCAAGGCGTGCTGACCGTCATGTGAGGGTGACGTAGCCATATGCACAGTGCGGAAGCGATAAGGATAAGAGATATACGAATAAATAAAAAACGAAAGCTACTAATGTGCACTTATAAGCAGAAAGTATTAGGAATGAGATACAAGTGTAAATACTCCTAATCAGAGCATAGAAAGTCTAGGTGCAGTTCAGTAGGACAAGTACTAGTTATACAGTACCAGAAGAGGTCCTACGAATATTATATTTTGTTAGAACCGCCGAACCCTCAAATGCCACCAACAGCAAGTCTATCTAAAACCTAGAGGGGCGCAAAACAAAAAACGTTTTCTCTCTAATGCACATACTTTAATAATAAAACTAAAATTTAAGTTTTGAAACCAAGGTTTTATCTCCAATGAACATCCTTGACTCTAAGTTTTGCCTCCTATTCTATACATATCCAAATAATTTTTTGTTTTGTTTTTATAATGATATTCTACATTTTAGAGGAAAGGTATAATCTAAAATTAAATTAATAAAACAATTTTTGTCAACCAAAAATGATGAAAAATAATAATATGGTCACAAATAAGCGTGTGAGTGGGGAATTCCCGCGAGGGAAACTCGGGTCAAACAAAACAAGGCGCCTCTTTTCTTTTTGTTTCTCGGAGTTTATAATATCCGAACAAACAAACAACCCAAAAAATTAGAGACTCGTGAAACGAAAGAAATCAAAATCCGAATTTCGAACCAGAGAAACGAAAGAAAAAGAAAACAAGGGGAAAATGGAAGCAGCGATGGCACTGATGCGTCGGATGCCTCCCATGCACACTGAGACGGCTCTCTCCGCCCTTCTCTCAAGTCGATCAGCCTCTCCAGGTTCTCCCCTGTTTGTTTTCCGAGAAAATCCAATCCAATCCAATCCAATCCAATTTTCACTTTCCATTTTCTTTCTCATAGGGTTTCATTGAAGTCCCAATAAAATAAAATAAAATGTTGTCTTGAAATTCAAATTGTAGTCACTGTGTTGCTCTGATTTCCCGAAACTCAGGTTTTGTGCGATATGGAATACGGGAAGGAGTTCATTTTGTGTGAATATAACAGAGATGCAGACTCTTACAGGTAAAACCCTCAAATCTTTTGTCAAATTTGATGGGTTGGTGTTAGTTTTCTGATATTTTACACTTTAATTGCTACATTTTTTTAGGACATTTTAGAGGTAGCAGATCTGGCCTTGATTTGTGAATCTGGATGTTTGATATAGTTTGATTAATTTAATTTAATTTAATTTATTGTTTTGGTTCACATGCATATATTGGTGTGATTAGTGCAATGCATGTATAACTGTGTAATCCTGTTGTTTATTTTTTCGTACAATCGTTTCTCTTCTGTGAACATCGATTGCCTATGGTGATATTTTTGCTACTATATTTCCATGTAGATCACCTTGGTCAAACAAATATCATCCGCTGCTAGAAGACGGCAGCCTCCCATCTTTAGAGTTGAGGAAACTTGAAGTTGAAGCAAACGACATCTTTGCCATTTTTCGTGACCTGTGAGGTCCTTTACTTACCTCATTCTTCTGTTGTTCTTGGCATTGGTTGAACTTTATAAAACACTTACAAAATGATGAACAAGAATTGGAAGTGCCCAAGGACTAGATGGTGGAATCTAAAAGAAGAAAAACAAGCCATTTTCAAAGAGAAGGTAATCACCCAATGTGTGTGGGATAGAGAGGGGGAAGCTAGCCAAATGTGGGATTCCATGGCTAGTTGTATCCGAAAAGTAGCAAAAGAGGTATTAGGAGAGTCCAAGGGCTTTGCCCCACACCAAAAGGAATCTTGGTGGTGGAATGAGGAGGTACAAACAAAGGTGAAGGCTAAGAAGGAATGTTGTAAAGCCTTATACAAGGAGAGAACTGATGAAAATGGTGAAAGGTATAGAAAAGCGAAGCAAGAGGCGAAGAAAGCTGTCAGAGAAGCTAAGTTAGCGGCTTACGACGATATGTATAAACGACTAGATACCAAAGAAGGAGAGTTGGATATCTATAAACTATCTAGAGCAAGGGAAAAGAAGACAAGGGACCTAAACCAAGTGAGGTGCATCAAGGATGAGGATGGAAAGGTTCTTGCTACAGAGAACGCGGTTAAAGACAGATGGAGAGGTTATTTTCATAATCTTTTCAATGAAGGACATGAAATGAGTGCTTCTTTAGGGGAGTTGAGTAACTCAGAAGAGTGTAGAAACTACTCTTTTTATCGTCGAATCCGGAAGGAAGAAGTGGTTGTAGCTTTGAAGAAGATGAAGCATAAAAAAGCAATAGGCCCAGACGATATACCAATTGAAGTGTGGAAACTTTTGGGAGAGACAGGTATAACATGGCTCACTGACCTTTTCAATAGGATTTTTGAAAACGAAGAAGATGCCAAATGAGTGGCGAATGAGCACTTTGGTGCCTATCTACAAGAATAAGGGCGACGTACAAAATTGCATGAACTATAGGGGTATTAAGCTAATGAGTCATACAATGAAGCTCTGGGAGAGAGTCATTGAGCATAGATTGAGGCAAGAGACACGGGTTTCGGACAACCAATTCGGGTTCATGCCAGGGCGCTCAACCATGGAGGCAATCTATCTCTTACGAAGATTGATGGAAAGATATAGAGATGGGAAAAAGAATTTACACATGGTCTTTATAGATTTGGAAAAAGCGTATGATAGGGTCCCAAGAGACATTCTTTGGAGGATTTTAGAGAAGAAAGGAGTACGAGTAGCATATATCCAAGCTATAAAGGATATGTATGAAGGAGCAAAGACTGCCGTAAGAACTCATGAAGGACAAACCGAAAGCTTTCCCATAACTGTAGGATTACATCAAGGCTCATCCTTAAGTCCTTACCTTTTTGCGTTGGTAATGGATGAGTTAACACGGACATATTCAAGATGATATTCCTTGGTGTATGCTTTTCGCAGACGATATAGTGTTGATAGATGAAACTCAGGAAGGGGTAAATGCAAAGCTTAACCTTTGGAGAGAAGTGTTGGAATCTAAAGGTCTTCGCCTAAGCCGATCAAAGACAGAATATATGGAGTGCAAGTTCAGTGCAAATGGAGGCCAAAAC